GCCGCGGGGCAGGCGCCGCGGGGGCCGGTGCGGGCCGGGCCGCCCGCTCCGCTTCCCTGCGGCCGCTGCTGCGTCGCTACAAGGCTCCGCGCCCCCTTGGCGCCGGGCTCGCCTGTGACCCACAGCAGAGATGAAGTTTTCTGTGTTTATTGGATTTAGCGTGTTTAGCGCTGTTGGTTCTCGCCGACGAGCTTGTAAGGAGTAAGGGGAAGGTGCAGCGTGCGCCTGGGCTGCGTTCCTGCCGCTCCTGCTGAGGCGAGGCCGAGCGAGCTGCGGGGCCCGGGTTCCTGGTGGCAGGAGGGGCRCGCGGGGCTCTCTCTGGGATGGAATCAGGGAAACGTGTCCGTGACGTTGTGTGAGCGTCATGCTCGTTCCCAAATGAGCAGGGCTCTGTTTTTGCAAGATTTGCTGTCCTGAGCCTGGTGGTGTTTGCACGTGAGATACACCCAGTGCCCCAGTGTTGATGTGCTGCTGTCTGCCAGGGTGGTCTGTGATCCAGGGCAGGGCCAGAAAAGGAGTATGTCATGATAGGAGCTGGATTGCCAGAAAGATTTCCCTCTGTGTTCTGTTAGGACGGATAATCCCTCTTCTTCAGGCCATTAAATGTGTCAGCAAAGCACTTAACGACCCACGGAAGTAACTGGTGTCTTTAACTGGTGTCTTTAAAAGGTCCGTTGCTACCAGAACATGTGCTTTATAACAACATCAAAGCCGTGCTTTTTCAGATAAATTCTCAGGGGGTGCCAGATACTGAGAAACCAGAATTTGTGTTAATGAAGAAGCTCCGCAGGTGTGGGACAGGCCCRGCGCTCGGGTGCTCGGGCACCTGGGCTGGAGGGCAGGGGCAGTGGATGGAGTGACTGTCTGAGAGCGGCTCCTCCTCGTGCGGGGCCCTTGAGATCACTYGCTGGTTTTAAGCATTGCTGGGTATTTTAAAACTCCCTTTTTACAGGTTAYTTTTCTTTAGGCTTATAAGCCTTCTTTGCGCTGGTTAAAAGGAGCTTGCATTAACGTGAAAATTAAGAAAATGATTGATGTAAACTTTTATTAGAGTAGAAAAAAGCCACAGTTCATTCTGAAATGAACAAATTTATATATAATATAAAACTCAGGTCTGGAATTCATTTTTGTGATAACTTTTCTTCACTGTGCTCTAATGAAACCYTTAACAGGATAATAGAGATACTGTAATTAGGAAGCCAGACAGTTTGTCTGAAAGATTTTCTTTTTTCTTTCTTTTTTTTTTTCCTGCATCTAAATGTTAATTAACCCATGAGGCAAGGGAACAAGGAGCATCACTGAAGCATGGAACAATAGTGAATTAAAGGAAATATTCATGTATAAAGAAAGGGAACTGGAGATTAAGGAAATAAAAGGAGGCGGCTGGTGGATCTCGCGGGCTCTTTCTCCTGCTCGGCTGTGTCTCAGGGGCTGTCACCGCTCTGCAGAGCCGCGTGACGAGGACTTTCTGCTCCAGCTTCCTTGCAGAGCTGCAGTATCTACCAGGCCAGAAAGGCTTTCTAGTAAAATTACTATTAGGTAGTTTGATTTCATTTAATGATATACTTAATTTGCATAGGCAAGGCTTTTATATAGGGACTTATCTACTMTGCAAGTTATGAGTACTGATAGGTTTTTTTCTCTTATCATTTGCCTTCTTCAACTTTCATTATGAATACAGTGAACAACTGGGATGATAGATTCCCCAGGAAAGCTTGGTAGCTACACAAATTAATCTGCAATCTTATTTTATGTGTGCATGATAACTTTGATTTTCACACAAAGATGTGCTTTGGTATGCCTGCGTAAATTGCCCTGTTGATATTCGGTGGAATGAAAAAGATTCAGCAGCAGATCTAGAATACAATTCCATGTCTGCCAGGATTGTTTTTCACAATATTATTTTCCATATCTCTCAGAGAAGTTTTAGTATATACCCTAGACCTTAAGTCTGCTTTCCAACATGCATTTCTTTCTGTAAATAGACCTACATCTATATAGAAATAGAACACATGTTGTTCTATTGCTAGTGTTCCTTCGTTGCCAATGTTTCTTCATTGGCAAATACATGGTAATTATATGTGTATAAACTTTCCCTTTACTTCTGCATTTTAAGGCATGCAAGATCAAGAAACTATGTTTCTGAATCTGAAGTGTACAAGCTGGAATCTGTACCCTTGGATTTTGGTGACTACCATCCGCTAAAGCCCATTACAGTAAGTTTCRTGTTGCACTCTTAGAAAATGAATGTGAACTGAAAATGATTGTGTGCCTCTTCTTACTCCTGTTCTTTTAAAATGAAATGRATTTGAAGTTGTTGGTATTAGTAAAAGTTGTTTTCTATGTCAATGGCTTGTTGTTTTTGAAATATCAAGGTTTTTTTCTGTATTGTGTGCCTTTTTAAAATCTTTGTTAGTGATGTTATATGTGAAAAATGATTTCTTTTTGACTAAGACAGCATCCCAAACTTTTAGTGTTTCTTAGTTGCACTAAGTGCTAAATAATAAGTTGCTAGATTACGAGTAACTTGCCTAATTGCTTGATGTAAGGTTTGTTTTGGGGTTAACTTCCAGTCAGCTATGCGCTTTAAAATATTTACCATTGCTCTAATGTCTGAGAGGCTTTTAAAACTGCCCCCAGCTTCCAAGAGATGATAGTTGTACACCAGTGAATGGTAAATAGAGAGCAGCTTCCTCYAGGGCAGGCAGTGGGGGCGGTAAGATGGACGCCTTGGGAATGGATTTGCTGTGCCGGGCTTGAGTGCTGTGAAAGAGAAGTGAAGATGAGACTGCAAGAAGAAATCAAACAGCAAAAAAGAAATGGGAGGAGAGAGAGGAGGTCAATAAAATAACTTGAAATGGTTATATTTAAATTCTGTAGAATCAGAAGTTTAAAAAGTTATTGACATGAAGCCTCAGTCTTTGAGAGGAAAAAGACGTGTTTCTCTTCAAATGCTAATGCTGATTCTAAAGTAGTTCTTGTAGATGGGTCTTTGTTTCACTGAAATAGCACCATTTATGTACTCCATAGCCTGATAACTTATTAAAGGGAATAAGTTAAACCCTTTTTATTTAATTATTTTAAATTTTTCTTCTAGGTTACTGAATCCAAGACTAAGAAAATGAGCCGAAAAGGAAGCACTTCTTCTACCTCTTCTTCTTCTTCCAGTTCTATGATAGACCCACTGAGCAGTGTGTTGGATGGTACCGATCCCTTGTCTTTATTTGCAGCAGCTGCAGATCCAGTGTCTACTAATGCTGCCATGGTAATATGAGAGGACTGTTATCTCAATTAAAAACAATGAAAACAATGGAACACACACAAAATCCAGTGAAGTTAAATATATTTGTCTCACCAATGTAAAGATTATTTTAATGCAGAATTCAATAAATTTGATTTGTTTGAAGGTAATATTAATTTATACAATAGAAGAAGCCTTTCTGGTTTTCTTTTTTAATTTGTCTTGTGTTTAACTATGGACTTTTTTTTCAGTGTTGTAGCTTGTAGAAGAGGCAGTTGCCTCTTGAAAAATTCTGACTCTTAAAATTGACCTTCATGTCCTTTTTTTAACAGATTTGTTTTTAACATTTGCACTCATACTTTTCTCACAGGATAGTACACGAAAGAAACGTGATAAAGATGACAGCTCAGCAGTAGGAAGCGATTTTGAACCATGGTCAAGCAAACGCAGTGAAATTCTTGCCAGATACACAACAACAGAGAAGCTCTCTATTGTAAGTGACATTTTCTCCAAGTTTATTTTTACTGGAACTTAAATGGATTTGCTGTTCTGTAATTATTCACTGAACTAATAGTGATCCTATAAATTTCACTTTTAGCACAATGGGAAGCTGTACTACAAGTTTTCCCTTATGACTAATTGTTTTTGAACCAAGTCCAGAAGTCTGTTTATCACTGAAACCATTGCTTTGTCCCTTTCTATTGATACAGCTGACTTACGGTTCATTTTTATTTCYAAATGATTAGAGGCTTAATTAGCTATGTAATTACTCCTTGTAAT